TCATTGTTGTTTGGCGGGTCCAGGCTGGGGATTCAAACCCGCCACCTTAGGTGTACGTGGCTGGCGCCTTAGCTGGTTGAGCTATAGGCACCGAGCCTCTCATTTACTTTTTGACCTTCTAACTTCTTAGCTTGCCACAGGGTTTCCTGATCTCTCTTGAGCATTTACCATCTGCCCTCTCCCAGTCGTGCATGTCCCATGAAGGCTGCTCGTTGTTTCTGAATGTTTCTGGCATCAGGAGCTCAGATGCCTTATCAGTGGTCTCAATTAAGCAGAGGCACTGGAGCGAGTGCTTGTCTTAGCCCCTGGCCTAGGTGTATGTGGCCCTGTGGAGGTCTCTGAGCTCTGGAGGAGCTGGCTGTGGATGTGGGGCTGGTTTCTACTGCTGGAGAGTACTGTTGGAAGCTCACAGCACCTAGGTCAAACCTGGGAATCCTCAAACATGGGTTTCTGAGCACCGAGATGCCAGAACCCACTCAGATCCAGCCCCACCTATGTCTGCTCAGTCTCTGGTCATGCAAGTATGAATAGGGGTCAGCCTCTGGTGCTTGGGGACCTGTCCCACTTCCCAGGCCAGGTACAGACACTGACAGGCCAGGGGGCAGGAGGCTGCAGCTCTGCCCCCAGGTGGGGACTCATGTCAGGTGATGCCAGTCTCCGGGGAAATTTGAAGCAGCATCAGGGAGGGCTTCTAGTGCCCCCAGAGTGCAGTCTGGAGGCTCAGATCTGGGGGGTGCTGGTCTCTGGGGAGTGGGCACCACCCTCTGCTTTGTCTCCACCTGGTGCTCACCTGGTGCCTGCCTGGAAGGCGCTGCTGACTTCTTTCTTGGTCTTTCAGATCATTCCCCCGAAGGAGTGGAAGCCACGGCAGACATATGATGACATTGATGACGTGGTGATCCCAGCACCCATCCAGCAGGTGGTAACGGGGCAGTCAGGCCTCTTCACGCAGTACAACATCCAGAAGAAGGCTATGACGGTGGGGGAGTACCGGCGCCTGGCCAACAGTGAAAAGTGCGTGGGGCAGGGTGTGGGGCCTGAGACCTGGCACAGGGTAGCATGCCCAGTGATGTGGGGACTGGGGAGCAGCTCAGTGGGCCCTGCATGGGTCTCTGCTCCCCTGTCCACTTCACAGAGGGGCACCCACTGAGAGGGACACAGTCTGACCCTCACTATAGCCGCCCAGGTCTGTTCACCTCATTATAGAGCCTTGCCCTGACCCCTGGCTCAGGAGTGTGTCCCCTATACTCTCCTGTGACTCCATGGGTGACAGCCCTCCTCAGAGAGGGCTCTTTGAAGTTGCTATAAATACTGCTCCCTGTTTCCATATGGGCACACAGGCACACATATAGAAACATGTATAGGCACATGGGCAGGCACTCAGGCATGCATATAGACACATACACAGGCACATGAGTGGGCACTTGGGCACACATATAGACACATATACAGGCACATGGACAGCCACATGGGCACACAAATAGATGCATATACAGGCACATGGGCTGGCACATGGGAACTCAGGTACACATAGACACATATACAGGAACATGGGCAGGCACATGGGCACTCGGGTACATGTAGACATAGACACATGGGCGGGCACATGGGCACAGAAATAGACTCATACGCAGGTACATGTGCAGGCACACAAATAGACACATACACAGGCACGTGGCGGGCAATCAGGCACACATACAAGCACATACACAGGCAAATGGCACACACTTGGACACACATATACACACATACACAGGCGCATGGGCGGGTACACATGTAGACACATGCACAGGCACATGGGCAGGCACTTGGGCCCACATATAGACACATACACAGGTACATGTGCAGGCACACGAATAGACGCATACACAGGCACATGGCGGGCAATCAGGCACATGTACAGGCACGTACACAGGCAAATGGCACACACTTGGGCACACATATAGACACATACATAGGCACATGGGTGGGCACTTGGGCACACATACAGACATATACACAGGCACATGGGTGGGCACTTGGGCACACATACAGACACATACACAGGCACATGGGTGGGCACTCGGGCATACATACAGGCACATAGGCTGGCACATAGGCACTCGGGTACACATAGACACACAGGCATGTGGGTGGGTATATGGCACATATATAGATGCGTGGGCATAGATCAATATTTGCATGATTGTAAATACTGCTCCTTGGTTCTATATAGATACATGCAGGCACATGTGGGCACACACAGGCACACATACAGACACACAGACACATTGGTGGGCACATGGGCACTTAGATACACATCTAGACACACATACACGGGCACTCAGGCACACACATAGATACATATACAGACTCATACAAGGGTACACAGGCTCTCGGGCACACACATAGACACTCAGCGCAGCACACATGTATGTACCTGCCTGACTACAAGTCTGCTCTCTGATTCCACAAGGGCACGCATGGGTATAGTCCATGCATTCACAGACCCACTCTTTCGCTTTACCCCCATCCCTATTCTGTGGCCTCCCACCCACCTCTGAGAGCTGGTACAGGTGTAGTTCATGTGGTCAGGGTCTATGTGTCCGTCTCATCTGGTGCCTGGGGCTGATAAAGCCTGGCCCGCCATCAATAGTCCTGGTCTTTGCAGAGCAGGGGATGACAAGAGCTATCAGGGGCCTCGGTCCCCTGCCCATCTCCCCCTGGGCTGTGGTCAACTTGGCTCCCTGGGCCTAGGTACATGGGTCCATTTACCACAGATGAGCACTCTGCATGCACAGTGGGGTAACAGGGAGTCTGAACAGCTCCTCCCACTGTGTGCTGTAGGCACCTCAAACCTCAGGCACTACTGGGTGCTGGGCGCCTACTCTGAACTGGGTGGGGTGTCTGCTCACAGGTACTGCACCCCACGCCACCAGGACTTCGATGACCTGGAGCGCAAGTACTGGAAGAACCTTACCTTCGTGTCCCCAATCTACGGGGCTGACATCAGCGGCTCTCTGTATGACGACGTAAGTGTCAGGACCCAGTCCCTGGGGGAGGAGCTGGGGGCAGGGCTCTGATACACCTGTCTTGGTAGGTCAGCATTGAAATCAGGCAGGAAGATTGCTCTTCCTTAGGGTCTGGTTATGGGCCAAGGCCTAAAACGAGTAAGGCAGGAGCCTGGTAATTTCTCTTCAGAGTCCTTCCTGCCAAACTCTGTTCTGCAGCCCCCACCCTGAGCATATTCTTCCCTCTACAGCTGTACTCTCTGTGTCTAGTTGGAACTGGGATTAGAATACAGGATATTTGGTGGTGGTCCTAGCTGCTGTGCCCTGCCACCCTGGTCAGCTGCCACCCTGATGTAGCCATAGTTGGACAAAGCTGTTTGATGTTTGTGGGTCGGTGTTGGTTGCACCTCCTGCCAACCAGAGCATCTCAGTGCAGCTCTGCTGTCCACGTTATGAGCTCCCACTTGCTGGAAGAGAGTTTAATCACACCAACCTGACAGAATCAAAGCATTGAAGTTTACATGGTTGTATAAGTGTGAAGTCAGAGCCTGTCAAATGATCCATTACTGTTCCATGTAGTATTTTCAGATGTTAGTGCTCCATAGAATCTTTTGTTTATTGATTATCTGTTTCTTTTATAAAATAATGCTATCAAGATACCATTCACATACCATAGAATTCACCCATTTAAAGTGTATAATTAATGGTTTTTAGTAAATTCATTCAGAGTTGTGCAACTGTCACCATTATCAATTCTAGAACATTCCATCATTGCAAAAGGAAATTCTGTCCCCATTGTCAGTCATTCCCCAACCACCCCTCTCCTCAGCAGCTGCTAATCCGCTTCCTGTCTGTGGATCTGCCTATTCTGGACATTTCATATAAATGGAATCTCACTCTGTGTGTCCTTTTGTGTCTGCTTCTCTCACTGAGCACAATGTCCTCAAGGTCCATCCACATCGTGGCCTGTGTCAGAACCTCCTTCCTTGTCATGGCTGAGGGTAATATTCCATGGTATGTGTATACAGGTTGAGTATCCCTTATCCTAAACACTTGGGACCAAATATTTTTCATATTTTGTGTTTTTGTATTTTTTTAGATTTTGTAATATTTGCATATACCTAACGAGGTATCTAGGGGATGGGGCCTGAGTCTAAACACAAAATTTATGTTTCATATATACTGTATTTTGCCATGTATAACACACATTTTTTTTGCCCAGTTTTTGAGGGAAAAATACGTATGTGCATTATATGTGGTACATGGGTGGAACTAATTACATATATATGTAAATGTTTTTAATTCTTTTATTTATGTTTATGCATTAGAAGTGTAACTCTAGAAAGCAATAATGATATATGTATGCAAAATAATACCCTGGAATATGGTAATAGTGTCCCCTCTGCCCTGCCTACCTCCCCGGCTGTCCCCTCACTGGGCAGGTATCACAGCTTTGGATGCTCTAGATCACACGCTTGGCCAATCGTGCTGGACACCACTGTCGCCACCATCTTGGAATAGGTATACCACTGATGGCGATGCATCAAGACCTCGGTGAAGGGAGAGGAGAAGGAGAGGAGTGGCCTTTCCTTCCTTCTCTGCTGAGAGGTAGGAGGTGTGGAGCTAGTTGCACACCTTCTTTTTTTTTGAGACAGAGCCTCAAGCTGGCCCCCTGGGTAGAGTGCTGTGGCATCTCAGCTCATAGCATCCTCCAACTCCTGGGCTAAAGCGAGTCTCTTGTCTCAGCCTCCCAAGTAACTGGGACCATAGGTGCCTGCCATAACACTCAGCTATTTTTTTGGTTGCAGCTGTCATTGTTGTTTGGCAGGCTTGGGCTGGATTTGAACTCGCCACCTTAGGCATATGTGACTGGCACCTTAGCCACTTGAGCCATAGTCGCCGAGCCTGCACAACTTCTGTGTCTGCTTCTCTCACTGAGCATAATATCCTCAAGGTCCATTCAAATCCTACAGATCACCTGGGTGACTGGTTAAAATGAGACTCCTGGACCACACTTAAATACACTAAATCATCTCTCTAGGAGAAGGACTTGGGTATCCATTCTGTTAACAAGCATCCTAGATTGTTCTTCTTACTGGCAAGTTTGGGAAATTATACTAATACAACACCTTGGGGTTCAGACAATTCATACGTTCAAAATTAAAATCTATGGGCTCAGGTACCCCCCAAGCTTTCATGCTTCACTACCAGGTATACTCACAGAAACTGCATGGGGACTGAGGCCCAAGGTCACAACAGCAGGCTATTAGTAGAAACAGGTCTCAGAACCCAGGTCTCCCAGACCCCAGCTCAGGAATCTTCTTCCTTAGGTCCTGGGCGGGTCTAAGAATGGGGCCAGTTGTTCAAGAGACAAGGCAGCCTGGAAAGGGCAGGGAATAAGCCCACTGGGGTTCTCAGCAGAGCAACTATGGCCACTCAGATAGACATGAGTGGAAATAGAAAATGACAGGATGTGGGGACAAGGGTGGGCTAGGAGGGAACAGGTGGGGGAGGTCGGGTGCTCAGGTCATCTGGACCACTCTCTTGTGCTACCTGGCCTCGCCATAATGTAGACATGTTTTATTTCTTTTGGGTAGAAACTTAAGAGTGGAATTGCTGCACTAAGTGGTAACCTTGTATTTAACTTTTAGAGATGCTGCCAGACTGATTTTTTTTTTCCAAAGCAGCTGCTCCAAGTTTTACCCTTACCAGCCACATGGTGTGGAGGGGGTCCCAGTTTCTCCACATCCTCACCAACACTGACTGTTTGTTTTTGTGATTCTGGCTATCCTAATGGGGTGAGGTAGTATCTTGTTATGGTTGTGATTTGCATTTCCCTAATGGCTGAAGACCATGGTTATGTGTGTTCTCATGTGCTCATTGGCCATTTGTGTATTTTCTTTGGAGAAATGTCTATTTAAATAGGTCTATTTAAATTAGGTTTTTTTTTTTATTGAGTTGTAAGAGTTTTTCATATACTTAGAATACAAATCCCTTATCTAATGTAGTAGTTACAGATATGTTCTTCCATTCTCCATTCCTTGGGTTGTTTTTCACTTTTTTTCTGGTGTCTTTGAAATCACAAAAACGGGCAGTGCCTGTGGCTCAGTGGGTGGGGTACCGGCCCCATATACCAAGAGTGGTGAGTTCAAACCCAACCCTGGCTAAACTGCAACACAAAAATAGCCAGGCATTGTGGTGGGTGCCTATAGGCCCAGCTACTCAGGAGGCTGAGGCGAGAGAATCGCCTAAGTCCAGGAGTTGGAGATTGCTGTGAGCTGTGATGCCACAGCATTCTACTGAGGGTGACAAAATGAAACTCTGCCTCAAAAAAAAAAAAAAAAAGAGAAAGAAATCACAATTTTTTTCTTTTATTGCTTGTGTATTGGTCATATCTAAGAATTCATTGTCAAGTCCAAAGTCATTAAAGTTTACTTGTATGTTTTCTTCTAAGAGTTTTATAGTTTAGGCAGGGTGTGTTGGCTCATGCCTATAATCCTAGCACTGTGGGAGGCCGAGATGGGTGGATTGCCTGACCTCACAGGTTTGAAACCAGCCTGAGGCAGAGTGAGATCTTGTGTCTAAAAATAGCCAGGCGTTGTGGCAGGTGCCTGTAGTCCCAGCTACTTGGGAGGCTGAGGCAAGATAATCACTTGAGCTCAAGAGTTTGAGGTTGCTATGAGCTGTGATGCCACAGCAGTCTACCAAGGGTGACAAAGTAAGACTGTCTCAAAAGAAAGAAAAGAAAAACTAGGGACAGCACTTGTGGCTCAGTGGGTAGGGTGCCGGCCCCATATACTGAGGGTGGCGGGTTCAAACCCGGCCCCAGCTGAACTGCAACAAAAAAAAAAGAGAGAGAGAAGAAAAACTAGCCAGGTGTAGTGGTGCCGGTCTATAGTTCCAGCTACTAATGAGGCTGAGGCGAGATGGTTTCTGAAGCCCCAAAGTTTATGGTTGTTGTAAGCTGTGACACCATGGTACTCTACCCAGGGTGGCAGAGTGAGACTCTGTCCCCCCCAGAAGTTTCATAGTTACTCTAGTGATCCATTTTGAATTAATTTTTATATGGTATGAGGCAGGGATTCAAATTTACTCTCTTGCATGTGGATATTCAATTTTCCCAGCACCATTTGTTGAGAAGATGGTTCTTTCCCTATTAAATGGTCTTAGTGCTAGGTGAAATCTCACATTATTGGGTTTTTTAAAATTGATTTTGTCTTTTTAGAGCACAGCAAAATTGAGCAGCAGGTATAGAAAGTTCCCACACACTCCTTGTCTCCATTTACACAGTCTCTCCCACTGTCAGCACCCCTTCCCCACAGAGTGGGTTCTTGGTTGTAATCAGTGAACCTCCATGGACACATCACTATCACCCAGAGTCCTTAGTCTACATTAGGAGTCACTCTGGTTATTGTATAGTCTCTGGGTTTGGACAATGTACAGGGACATGTATCCACCGTTATAGGATTACACAGAGTAGTGATCTGCCTTAAAAATCCCTTGTGTTCCATATGTTCATTCTGCTCTCCCATTAATCCCCAGTAACCAAACATTGATTTTTTTTTTCTGTCTCTATAGTTTTACCTTTTCCAGAATATCCTAGAGTTGGAATCATACAGTATGTGGCCTTTACATACTGTCGTCTTTCACTTAGCAACATGCATTTGAGGTTTGTCTGTGGCTTTCCATGGTTTGACTGCTCATTTCTCCTTAGTGCTGAATAATATTCCACTGTCTAGATGTACCAGTGTTTGTCCACACAGCTACTGAAGAACACTTATTAATTCCAAGTTTGGGCAATGTGGACATATGTTTTCAACTCCTTGGAGTGAATATGAAGGAATACAGTTGCTGGATTGTATAATAAGAATATGGTCAGTTTTGTAAGAAACCACCAAACTGGTTGCATTCCCACCAGCAGTGAATGAGAGTTCCTGTTGCTCCATGTCTTGCCAGCATTTGATGTTGTCAGTGTTCTGCATTTGGCTATTCTAGCAGGTGTATTGTGGTATCTCATCACTATCTTTGCATTTCCCAGAGGTCATGTGATGTGGAGCATCTTTCCATGTACTTCCATGCCATCTGTATATTTTTTTCATTGAGGTATCTGTTCACCCATTTTTGCCCACTTTTTAATCAAGTTGTCTTTTCCTGATTTTTGAATTGAAGAGTTCTTTGTGTATTTTTGGACAGCAGTCCCTTATTAGTGTGCCTTTTGTAAGTATTTTCTTTCAGTACGTGGCTTGTCTTCTCATTTTTTCTTTTTTTCTTTTTTTGAGACAGAGCCTCAAGCTGTC